AAGGCCAAAAATATATTATGGGAAAAGGAGAAATTAGGGTCTCTAAAAATATAAACGTAATCTAAATCTCTAGAAGTCTTATAAGTATTAAGGATACTACTAGGTTTAGAAATACTATAAAAGTCTTTAGAACTTTTATTATCGGTACCTATATAATTACTATCGGATTCTTAAAATATAATTTTAAATTCAAAGGATAAAGAAGAAGGCTATCTCCCTATACCTCCCAATAATGTAGGTACATTTCTAATAACCGACCTCTCTCATTCTAATAAACAATCATAATTAACTATAAATTAATACCTTTATTAGGCCGTATCATTCTTATTTATAAAGGGTAATCAACCTATAAGCGTCTAAGAAAAAAAGGTCCTAAATTAAACCTTCCTAGAATAAATAAGAAAAAAGGGTATTAATATTAATCCCGACTATAATTCTAAATTAAAAATAATAAGGGATATTATTAACCGCTATAGAATAAAAAGTATATTAAGGACCTTCTATCCAATTAACTTTCTACCTCTTTTAAAGTATTATAGTAATTTCAATTCTTATTCCTTTAAAGAATTCTTTAAGGCTATAGAGAAGGAACCCTTAAATAAATATAAGGATAAGAAATCCTAGAAGTAGGTTAATATTAAAAAAGCAGGAAATAACAAAATATTCGGTTCGATATAAGTATATACTTACAAATTTAATTAAAACGGCCGGTTTCTTAAATATAAGGCGCATTTAATTATACGTAGGGACTAGTAATTTAAGGATAGCGTACGTAAAATATACGTAATAACTTTAGTAATTAGGTCGTTCCGTATCCTAATAACTATAGCCGCCTATTTCAACCTCGACTTAACCTAATACAATACGAAGAATACTTTTATTAATACTATATTTAATAAAGTAATATTCATAAAGGCTTCTCCTAAATATACTAGGAAAGGTTAAATACTCTAATTACTACGTACGCTATATAATTTATAGAAATTTCCCTTCCTCTAATAATAGGAATTTACTAAGACCCTCGTAGCTATAAGTATAAACCCTCTCCCTATAGAGCCTAATATCCTAATTGAAAATAATATATTCCTCTTTTTCTACGTCGACGATATTATTATTATTTATAAGTATAAGGATAAAGAGATTGTTATAATTAAAGAAGTAGTAGCCGTTATAGAGAGGAAATATTAATTAATAGGTAGAGAGCTATTAAAATCGTTTTTAAGTATTAAAATGATTCGAAATTAAAATTTCTTTTTTAATTTAGCTATTATAGCGCAATTATATTTAGAAGAACGTAGACAAAATTAAATATATCAAGAAATTATATTCTACGCCTATAATTAAGGAAGAATTCCTACCTTACTAAAATAATGTAGCCCTATATAAAATTTACGTGTATTAAATTAAAATCGGTTTAATTCTTTATATCGCTATTATATTGCAATTAAACGTAGTTCTCCCGGTCTTTAAATTTATTCGATTCAATTCAAATCCAAATTTAGTATATTATACGATTATAAATCGAATATTATTCTACCTTCTTATAATTCAAAATTACGCCCTTCAATTAAATAGCAAAGACCATTAAGACTTCTATATTATAATTAACTCCTTATTTATAAATAATTCTCTTAATCGAAAGAATTTATCAGTATTTATATTCAAACTCCTAAGCGCTATAATCAATTAGCAAACTAATAAGTAAAATACAATTATAACCTCATTTATAGAGGCCGAACTATTATCCCTTAGTTAGGAAACTAAAAAAGCTATTTATATTCGCTATTTCTTTAACGAATTTACCCTAGGGTTTAAAGATTAAAAGGCTACGCCTATAGGCTATAATGATAAATAAACAATGCAATTTATCATAAAGGAGGGAATTCGGCTTAAAACAATTTAAATACGTCGATATATATAAATATTAATTAAAATAAAAGTAGGAGAGAAAATTAGTAAATATAATCTATATATTAATTAATGAATAGATTATAAATAGCCTTATTAAAAGCCTCCTTCCCGTAATGCATTTAAAATATATAGAGCAATTAGGGCTCGTAGAACTATAGCGGCTATAAATTTAATTACGAGAGTTTAGTAGTAGAGATATCGCTATAGGCTGCTTGAAAGGTATAGAGAATTCTATAGAGGAGGATTCGGGTGATAAATCGGTAAGTATAATAATAAACATAGTAAGGCAAGACTTTTACGAATAACGGCTTGAAAGCTACTATAACGAGGAAGTAATTTAGGAATAGTATTATTTTTGGCCAGTTTTAGAAGGATTTTAAGGTATTTTAAGCCATTTTTAGGTAAATCTAGCGTAATTTATACATTAGATCTAAAGGGGTGTATTAGAGGCCAAGGGATCTACTAGGCATATGCGTGCCCAACTGGACTAGGATATACGGATTTTTACCTAGATGCTAGAGCTTTAAGCCAGTCTCATATATATACACACAATCAAGCCACGTTGAACCTATATCGATCATCACCCATAATATCACAGTCAGTCAGCGGCCCTCCAGTGGCCTGAACGCCTGGTTCTGGCCTGTGCGCTGGATCCCTCTTTTGCAAACACCCTACTTATTGCAAGGAAAATCGCTGCCGGAATTGAGTTGCATTAACAGGGGACATTACTGTAGGTAGGTACGAACTGCTGCACCATGCCCCGCTTACCATGTGCCACAATGCCAAGAGAACTAGGTAATGAGGCGAATCATGCTGTCGGTCCGGGTTCTCGGCACTCTTCTGCGAGCTGCGCGCTCGATTCTGAGATGATTAGAAATGAATAAAAGGCAACTGAAGCTTGAATGAGAAATGTTCGAAAACTGTGGTTGAAGTGCACTCCAGTCGTCGTTCAGTGATTTGGGTATGTGCCCCGCTGTTTGAAGGTTAAGGCCGCCGCCACCAGTCAGGGGGACCCCATGACACTGGAGGACAAACCAGGGCAACCGGCGGAGGGGCTTAACGTGGGGTCGGCTTAGGTCATGTTTCCGTTTTCATTCCTTTGTTCTCACGATACCAACATGAGGGGGAAAAGAGGGTTCGATCGAAGGCGGCTGAAGTGAATACCAAGGGCGTCGGTCGCAGTGTGACAGCAACTCTGTTGTTTGCTGCCTGGACATCATGATCGGCTTGTAACCCACGACTAGGCAAAGACATTCTGCACCAGCAAGATACGCAACTACAATCAACCCGGACATTGAAGCCTAAGAACCGAGCGTTGCACATACGCCCACGCGCACGTGGTAACCATCTCAGGGCAGAGGAGACTGCGGTCACTCGGAGCGGCCGTCACCCCTGTTGACAGTCAACGCCCCGGAGCCGGGTCCGAATATCTGGGATGACCAACAGTCTGGTCCACGATACCAAGACTACACGGATGGGATGCATGTTTGTTTCAGCCATCTTCAAGCCCGGGCTTTTCCTCTCGATATGACACTAACAATTTCCACAATTCCGCGATAGAATTAGGCTTCAGTCTCCCACTTAACAAACAAGAGCGAAAAAAGCCTTGGATGCCTTGAACAGCCCGCTCAAGATCCGTCGAGCTACTTTCGAGTCACGGCCCCCAACTCGTGAACTTATATGATGATGGCATTTGTGGAGTTGGAGGAGGCTCATACACTCATTTCGGTCCGGCATGTTTCCTGGCCACTCGACCGTGCCCGTTGACGGGAGCAGTACCATCCATGCTGGAGCATCAACGGAGCTGACACCCGTCCGCCTTACCTCACCACCCAGCTTACACTGCACCGCTTAGAAGTGTCCGGGATGTGGTCTGAATCATTCGGCGTGCCGTAAGGGCGCGTTCGGCCAGGATTGAACAAGGGGTCGAAGAGCCGGTACGGGCCCCGGCGTACAAATCCGCTGTTAGTCGCGGTTAACCGCTAACGCCATGCCGCAGTTGCACTCTCGAGACTCTGAACCACACAACCGTATACCCAGCATATATGCGCCGAGGTGGTGTTGCGCAGCAGTCTGGTCTGTTAGTGTTAGTGTTGGTGTTAGCGAGTGTTAGTGCGGATGACAGCCCCACTTGTTTCTCGCAGACCCCACACCGGCGATTGCCAGGTGGGTGACCCCTGCCCTGGACACTCGCAAGGCCACCCGACCCGTCATCCCCGCCATCGCTCTTTTCATCCAATCCAAGAAGCCAATTCGCGTCCGCGTCCAACAATGATGATGCCTATCTACAACATACCTAGGAGCACTTGTCGCCAATGGAAGATATACAATCACCAATACCAACATCTCCCACGGACATGCGTCCGGAGAAGAGTCACCGAGCAAGAGAATGACGGCGACACCGAAGGCACTGACTCCACTGACAACGGTCTTCCTTTGATGGCACCCGGAATGCCCCGCCGCACCGGTATGTACTATTCCCTTCCTGGCCCGTTCTTGTTGCTCCGCCCCCCGACCTCGCGGCGCGGCGCGGCACGCAAACTCAATCCCAACCTGAATAGTATAGGGTACTGACTTCTTTATCGGAACCAGAAGAACCCTACACCTTTTCTCGGTCACGATACGTCGCACGCGCGCGGTTGTGGCAGTGAACCGCTTCTTGCTCCGACCCTTCACAGTTGATCCAACGCGCAATGAGCCACGCTCGGGTGGACCAGTTCTCGGGAAGTGACTGTCCGCTGTCCAGAGACTCCCTCGATAACTCCGAATATCCGCGATACTGGTGCACATTGAACACACTGCACAGCAGGCGGTAGGGCTGAGGACCCCTACAATGGGCGGGAGCATCACACGACGTCACCGCCGTGCCAAGCCATAGCACAGTCGAGCCGAGTCGAACCATGCCGGGCAGAAGAGATGAGAGGATAGCATAGGATGTGCGCTGCCGCCGGTCCATCACACTCGGCTACGACCACTCTCTGTCAATGCCTTGGTACATATGGATGGCCTCGCCCTCCTGCCTCAGGCCTGGTTCCACCTTCCTGTCACCATCTACACAGGATCATCTGCCAGTAATGGCCCATACCATCATGGAAACACCAACACCAGCGTCCTACTACTGGGTACAACGCCTTGGCCGACGTCTCTACGGTCGGAAGAGCCAGCTATTAGACTCTTGTCGGTCCCGCCACTATACCACCATCCAAGAAGAACACTATCAACACCATGCCTACCATCGTGTGCCATCACCACAAGTACAAGATCTCCTACGCGTTAAGACCAACGAACATGGCCAGCTACAATGCCGTGGATGTGACCAGATTACCTACCTCCTTCGCTGGGCAGAGGCCGAGAGGAGGAAGGACCCAAACCACAAGGGCACCTCTCCAAAGCGCATCATCCACAACAGCTACGTCGAGCTCGACCTGTGCGCAAGGATGTCCAACTGCGACGCCTGCCAAGTTCTCCGCCGTGCTCTCCTGTTAGACCAGATCACCGGCCGGGATGCTGAGCGTTTACGACACACGGATAACCAGTGGCCAATCCAGGTAGCTCTAGATATACGGCCTGGAGGCGACAGTCTTCTGGTTACCATCGAGAAAGGATCCGGGATTCCTTTGTTCTCTGCAACGGTCGTCCCAAGTCAGAAGCCGTGCCTTGCTGTCGGGAAAAAGACCAAAGGACCTTCCGCAGTCTCCAGGCTTCGGCCCAACTTTGAAGAGCTACGTCAAGTCGTCAGCAACTGCCACGACAACCACCAGTGCTCGTCTAGATACCGTTGGAACAGCAGAAATCCGTCGTGGCTTCTAGAGATTCTAGACGATGGTAAAGTCCGAGTGGTGCCGGGTCCTGATCACTTGGTTCCCTATGTCGTCCTCAGCTACTCTTGGGGAGATCCCACCACAATGCCCGCGGAGGAGTGGGCCAGGATCAAGGGTGCCTCTACCAAAACAATCAATGGCGTGCCCGTGGCAGAACGCACAAATCCATTTCCTCGATCGATTCTGCCAGAAACAATGCAAGATGCCATCGTCATCACCCAGGAACTGGATTATAAGTACATTTGGATTGACAATGTTTGCATTCCCAAAGGCACCGATTGGGATACCGAGGCTTCCCTGATGCACGAAGTCTACGGAAACGCCGCATTCACCTTGCTGGCCTCTTCGAGCACAAAAGCAACCGAACCCATGTTACACGACCGTCTCGCGTGGCTACAAGAACCTAAGCCCTGCAAACTGCGCAACCACTTCCTCTACAACACCCAAAAACCCCTCCACGAAGTCCGCCTCGACCCTCCAGCCTCGCAACGTGCCTGGACCCTCCAAGAAGAGCGTCTTTCTCCCAGAATTCTCTACTGGACCGGTCAGCGCTGGTACTGGTCCTGCCCCGAGCACCAAACCGTCGAGTCTTCGCCCCTCGACCTTCCTTCGCCTGCTTGTACCTCAGAGGACCAATCATGGAGTCCACCACAACGGTTCCTCGACGTCTGTCGTATCGGTGACTTCCAGAGCATCGACCAAGAATGGCTCGACATCGTCGAAGCCTACACGCGGCGCGACCTCGCTCACTCGGCCGATCGGTTCCTCGCCATATCGGGCCTTGCCGTCCGGTTTCTCGAAGCCAAGATGGACGGAGGTGGTAAAACCCGCGTTAGCGAGCAATACTTGGCAGGGTTGTGGCGAGAAGATCTAGCCAGACACTTGTCGTGGTCGGTTGCAAGCGCTGTGGATCCAAGGGGGAGTCATCAAGACGTTGCACCATCGTGGTCGTGGGCTTCATTGCCGTTATGCGTCAACACAAAGATGAGACATGCTTTTAGGCAGTCGCCGCACTTCCAGTTCGTGGGAGTCCGTCAGTTCAGTTCTGACCACACTCCCATAACCCCAACCGCCGCCCTTAACCAGCAAGTCGTCACCAACCCTCGCCTTCGCAGCAAATTAGCCGAGCAACAAGGCCGCACCGTCAAGCAGATCGAGATCCAAGGTCGCTTCCGCCGCTTGATTTCCGAAAACTCGTGCGCCGTATCGTGGGAAGCCATCGAATGGAAGCGCGGTGATCGTGTCGGCTTCAACTTTGAACAATTTCCCGGCCGCGATCTGCATTCGAGGAACCACGATGATGGTCGCATAGTCTCCAAAGACGCTCATGGCGGGGAGGTGGTGGGGCAGTTGGATTATCTCGTGCCTGCTGGCGGTTACTTTGGGGATAAGAAGAGTGACAGTGTCGCTTTGGCAGACGGGGAGGAAACGGAGTTGATGTGCCTTGAGCTTGGAGAACTGGCAATGTTGTTGCTTCAAAGAAATCCCGGATCTGAAGAGACTTGGAGGAGAGTAGGTGTTTGTATTGGGTATGAACAGAGGAAAGGTTTCTTTTATGGTTGTGAGAGTAGGACAGTTGTCTTGGCTTGACCGCTTTCGTTTGGTGCCTTCTCGTGGTATGACTTTGATGGGTTGGAGGAGGCAAAGGACGATGGTGCTCCGGTATCTGCTTTTCAATTCCTTTTTCTCGGTTTGTCCTTTTCACCGCCTTTATCTTCACCACCTTCATTTCTTCTTCCCCCTATTTACGTTCTCTTTTCGGGTTTTTGTCTTATACCCTCCACTTCCTTGTCCAATGTTGGATACAGTTCGCTTCTCCCCTTCTTCTGGTTTCTCACTTTTTCTCTCCTCGGCTATTTGCATTGGGGGCTTTATAGAAACATAGCCCAAGCTATTGCATGGTTATTCAACGGCGCAACCGGTTGTTCATACTTTTTTCGCCAATTTTTTTTCCAAGCGTTTTCTTTTTTCCAGTTGTTAGCTACAATATAGCCATATGTACTTCAATGCTTGACACAATCTATGAAGTTCCCAAATCCACTATTTCTTTCCTACCAGCGACCGTAACTCTGTCAATGGACGTAATCCAGCCCGGTGAATACTTCATCTGTCAATAGCCATCGCATACCCACTAAATGTACAGCAGTGATTATGGGTATCGACGTTGCCAAGCAATGGGGCTTGTGCCACACTCAATGATCGAACTGAAAGTCATCACCACAAACTCATATCGAACAGGAGACCACTTGTTAGGAAAACATAAGGCATAGAATTTCCATCCCGTCTCGCCCGTCTCGGGGATGCGGGCCGGCGTTTACGCTAGTCCTAGTCAGCATGCACTGCCACAACCTCGTGGACGGTGGGCGCAGTCGTCCTTTGAAATGAAGACCCAAGCACAATTGATTTCACACATAATCTTATTATACATGATCCCCATGTTTTGGGTTATTTCTAACGCGAGATCCCCATGATGTTGGCCTCGTAAATGGTGGTCGACTTGCCAGTGTTCAAGTTCTGGATCTGCACCCCATCCATATTCCATCATTGTCAGCACCAATGCTCCGAGAATCCGTCACTCCGCCCGTTGGCCAGCTACTGTCCGGTAACACGACTTATCATACCTCATATCTCGGGGTCTCTGGGCTGGCATTAACGTTGCGGCCGGCTTGCTGGCCGGGCTCGGTCAAGACGTCCATGATTTTGCCCACGCTCTCGGATGTGTTCGAGTCGGGCCCTTTTGAATGCGACATGTCAGTGGACAGCACACAAAAACCTGGCATATGAAAACTTACCTCCCACGGGCTTGTAGCGAACAGTCTGCCCGGTCTTGTACATCACCATCTTGAAGGTTTTCTGGGTAGGTATCGAGCTGGGAAAATCGGCGGCGGCGGCAACTGCTTGTCTGATACAATGGAGCTAACGCAAAAGGATCCAGGAAAGGAGGTGACAACTGCTGTCGTTATCGACTCACTTGTCCATATACCCCGGCGTGCCTGGGTTTCCATCTCCAACAGAGATGTGCGAGGTTTGATGAACCTGTGATATCACTTTGACATTCGCCTAGCCAGTGCACCCTCTCAATGGCACCAGATGAGACTGATGAGTTCATGGTGGAGTGGTGACAACAACCAGTCGAACGGCTTCGGATGCCACTCCCGTGGAAGGTCTCCAGTGGTGCACTCCAGTTGCGTACCGGCGCATCAGCATCGATGACAGTCCGACGTCATCGGGCCTTGATGAGTGATTAGGTATTTTTCGAACCAAAGATATTGACGGTTCACACGTCATTTTGAAGCAAGTCTGCTGGTCCCATTGATAGCTGGCATTGATGCTGTTGACTGTCTCGCGATGAGATGGTTGTTCAGGCGTTGTTCAAGCGGTTCAGCGGTGTGATCATGCAGAGTTTCAGTGGGCTTTGTCGACGGCGAGCACAGACCACTTATGCCTAGCACGTAGGCTGGACAGGAAATTGGCAAAGGGACGTCGACTGCGAGATTGTAGGTATTAACCAGAGCACAACACCAACATGCTTGGGAAGATTACCTATGATACGCTCCAACTGTTTGGATCGAATAATCTCAATTGTTACGTTATGTGTCTCCCTATTAGAGGAATTTTAAAGTAGAGGTAATAGAAGGCCGAGTGTCCCACCCCACTCACGGTGGGTGTATGTAACGGGCGATGCCATCCTGGACCATCACGTTCTTCAGCGATTCGCAATATCAACCCGGCCCGCCAATATGACGTTCCAGCGGCCCGCGGGCGTACCTGAACATGCGTTCATAGCATTTACACCTTTGAGGAAAGGAAAATGGTGATCACTTTCCTGATATCGAAGTGCAGAACTTCATGGACAGCAGAAGATGATAAAACCCATCACCACCCACGTCAAGCCTGTATCCTCTAGCCGCTCCTCACATCGTGGTCCTCGGTTTACGATGCATTCGAATCTCGGGTCCCTTCTCGGCCTCGCGGCCCTTCTCCCTCTTGCGTCCGCCTCTTTCCAAGGCAACCTCAACTACCACCCCCCATCCGCCCGCTCGTCACAAATCAACCTCGGCCTCTCCCTCCCTCTCGTCACTTCCCGCACGCTAAAACGCTCCTCTGTAGCTTACCAACCCTCGGAGCTGAACTTTACCCACCGCGTTGCTTCGGGAGACCCTTACCATAATTCCGTAATTCTCTGGACTCGCGTGGCGCCGACCGCTGAGTCGGATAGGAGTAATGTGACCGTGGCGGGGACGGTGGACCTCTACAGCCATGAGAGGGAGAAGTACATCAAGGCGGATGCGAACTCCATTTGTGTCGAGTGGAAGGTATGGGGGTTGCAAAAGGGATACAACGGGACTGTGAAGGGCCCGGTTATAAGCAACGGGAAGGCGTACACGACTAGTGATATTGACTTCACCGTCAAGGTTGGTTCTGCCCCTCAGACTGATGGGAGGAGAAGGCGGCTGACAGCTATTAGGTGGAAGCTCAAGGCTTGAAGCCTTGGACGGTGTACAGCTACCAGTTCAATGTCTGCGGCTCCAACAACACCAGCCCTGTGGGAAGGACAAAGACTGCGCCGACTGAGGATGCCGATGTCGATGAGGTCAAGCTGGCTGTGTTCTCTTGCTCAAGCCATGATGCGTCCTTCCAGACAAGGAAGATGGGATTGTATCGGTGCCCTGCTTCCAGAAACGCTAACCTGTTGTCTAGGTAGCCAAGGGCTTCTTCAACGTTTACGGAAATGCTGCCCGGAAAGACAAACACGACTACGTAGTCCATCTCGGCGACTACATCTACGAAGATGCGTCAGGCGGCCCAAGAGCACACAAGCCTGCGAACAAGCTGTTCACTCTGTACGACTATCGGACACGCCATGGACAGTATCGAACAGACAACGACCTGCAGCTTTTGGCCCAGAACTACGCCTGGATTCCCACCTGGGATGATCACGGTTAGTCCCGTTGCACCTCCATGTTCTATCCAGCCTCTAACCACGTTGCTCTTATAGAGTTTGCCAACAACGGCTACCGGAATGGCTTCTCGGCGCTCAACAACACCGAAGCATCCTTCCGGAACGACGGCCCTTCCATCAGTGTTGACACGCGGAAGATCAACGCCGTGCGTGCCTACTTCGAGTGGATGCCGATCCGCCAGGTGGATCTCGACGATAACTTGCGGATCTGGCGCAACTTCAGGATGGGCAAGCTGTTGGATCTCATCATCATCGACACTCGTAACTACGACCGCAGTATTACCAGTACAGGGACCAATGATGAGTACATCGAGCTGATTAGGGATGATCCTTTGAGAACGCTGATGGGAGGCCGCCAAGAGAAGTGGTTCTTTAGGCAGTTGAGCGAGAGTAAGCAGAGAGCTGCTACGTGGAGAGTGGTGGGGAACCAGATCGTCTTTTCGAGGATCCTGGATTCGCAGGGGGTACTGACGGGAACCGATAACTGGAGTGTAGTACGGTGGCCCAAGTGTTGGTTATGATCAATTGAAAGTTGGTCCGATATCACGGGGCAAGGCGACGGTTAGGGGGTAGGTTGGATATGCGTAGTTGTACGAGGAGAGAAAGAGAGAGGTGTATAGAGGTTTGGCGATATAGGGTAGGGCTGAGCCATACCTAAAACTAGACCTATATGTATATATATACGTAATATACTATTTGCTAATAGCGGCAATAATATAGCACGAAGCTTAATTACCTATAGCAGGAGCCGTATATATATAAAGTAATTATAAGTAATCTTATAATACTACCTTCTTATAAAAGAAGTTCTAGAGCTTTAAAATATATATATATATATATATAATAATAGATTATCACTCAATCTCCGTCTTTAAACTCCTCTATCCGTAACTCTATCCGTAATTAAAACGTTTACTCGAACTCCTCCGCTCGTAATTGCCAGATCCTCTTAATATCTTTAATTTTACTTAATTTCTAATTATTATCTCCTTATTAGTACGTTCCTATTTCTAATTTATCTACTACGTTCCTTATAAAGAGTTTCCTCCCTTAATATATTTCTAATAATTTATTAAAAACGTACTTAAAAATATCGTCCATCTTCTTTATATCCTCCGCTAATAATTCTTCAATTAATTAATTAGGGTTCTCCTTTATTAATTAGCTAATTAATAGACCGGACGTAATACCTTTTGTAAATAAATTAATTTACTCCTTTAAGTTCGTAATATATTTAAAATACTTTAGTACTGTAGGGGTTGTAAATATTAAGGTAGGTTGTAGTATTAGAGCCAGCGATTAGAATATTAGAATAACGGTAATAATAGGGTGGGGCGTTAGGGTAAATAGTACGGTCATCGTTAACGGGCGGGGTAGCGGAGTGAGTAGTAGTCTCCCTTATAATATAACCTAAATTTCTAACTATTATTTAATTTCGGGTAAGATTAGTGGGTTAAGGTAATTATTATAGAAAGTTTTAATAGCCTCCCTTATATTAATTATATTAATTAGCGGTTCTTCGGTTAGGTCGTAATAAGTTTATACGATAATATAAAACTAATAATAATTACTTCCCTTCCATTAATATACTAAGAATTTATTAAATTCTTATTCGGCGATTTCTTTATAATTATTAATTTTCGTTATTACTTTACCTTCGTTAACCTCTATATCCTTCTAAATATCAGCCTAGCTAGGTAAGCCTTCTTTAGAGAATTCAACTATTAATACGTAGAGTACTGGTAAATATTTTACATTAATAAGTAATACGAATTTAATATTATATAATTTAATTTAATCGAATTTAAAAGGGCCTTCCTACCGAAGATATAGTTTATTATAAGGGTGGCCGTTAGCGAATTTAATTGTATTTAATATAACTAAATCTCTAACTTAATATTTAAGTACGTCCGAACGTTTTTTATTAGTATTAAATTTATAATAATTTTATACTTTTTTAATCAAAATTCGAATGTAATCCTAAATAATTTCGAAATTAATTAATAGTTTATTAGTTTTTAAATATTCCTTCTATTAAATTAAAGATAAGTATAATATTATAAATAAGGATGGTTCGATACCTATTTAAAAGAGAAACTCTATTCGTACCGTACCCCACCCGCACCGACCAATCAAAAATATCGCATTCCCCCTCCCCGCTTTTTTAACGCATTCGCATTCCCGACAAGGCATTCATAATCTCGAACAGCGCATTCGCATTCCCGACAAGGCATTCGCAGCCTCCGATACAATATTCGCACATCATTTATGTCGCAGGTCAATTGCAGGCGCTGTCGCATGTTAATTTCTATCGTATATTAATTTTTTTCGTCATTTCAATTGCTCTCGGGAAGAAATACCTTACCGGGCGTAGGGGTTGGGAATGTGCTGTTTAGGGCTGTAAATTAGTCTCATTTACTCAGCCACCTACGCATGGCCCTTGAGTTCCTCTTTGTACCTGCGGGTCCAAATGGTTATAACATCCCCACTATACTTACCTACCTACCAATCTTAATGTTATACTATTTGGACCTATAGGATAAAAAGACGCGGCCATACTACGGTTTGAATTTAATATAAATAGAAGGGTCTATTATACGTAAATTAGTTATATATCTCTAATTTATTCTATATATTATCGTACTACTTAATATAATGATACGCTTTATGCGTACGCTCTATGCATATATCCGATACTAGATACTTATTAATTTTATTATTTCCTCCTTTTTTTCCCGCTCTTCTTAATATTAATAATATACCTACGTTCTACTAATTATATTAGGTAACCTAATCAACTTCTACGCTTGTATTTTCTTTATTTACATTCTAATTATTATATATTAACCTTTATTAGGAATCTTCTAGCGATTCTTCTAATGAACCCTTTATGTTTAGAGTAGATGTTTTAGGTTTAGAGCCCCTTTCTAAGGCTTTTAAAATAGATATTTTTCGGATAAATGTTTCGAATAACGATTCTAATATTTTAAACCCTATTTAAGAATTATTCGAACGTATTAGTATTTTTATTAAGGATTATTATCGGACGAGTTTATAGCAGTATTTAATTTACCTTTATATTTATTGAGGGATTATAATATCCTAGCGGTATAGTAAGTATTTTAGTACGTTTATTAACGCCTTTAGGGAGTTTATTATATATAAGGTATTTTTGAATATTGGTATTTATTTATATTTCGAACGGGATAATATTAACCTTCTTTCTAACGAACTTATTACTTAATTTCGAATAGAAGAATAGGTAATGAAGAAGTGGAAATTACTTTGGATATATTTTTAAATTTCTTTTTGCGTAGAATTTAAATTACTTTTATAGGAATTAGAAGTAATAGGGGTATTTATATTATTCTTTATTAATCAATTCGCTAATAATATTCTTACTATTAAAGGCGTTTTTAATATTATATAGATTCGTTTTTATCTTCGTTCTATATACGGAACTTTAATAAAAGTTGCCCCCGAATTGATAGAATTATTTATTACACTATGTATATAATAATACGCCTATTAAGGCTCTTATAAATCAAACGATAATATTCGGAAAGAACGGGGAGATTTGTAATTATGTAGTTATAATAGCGTTTATTATTATAAATTCCTATATACTTTAAATAAGTATATTTATTTTAAAGCTATTCGGTATTTATTTCAAAAGTAATTTTATATAATTACGCGTATATAATATATTGGCCCGGTTTAATATAGTTTCTTCCTATAAAGTTACTTTATAAATTATTAATTATTTTATTAATATTTTTATAGTACGTAGCCCGATATTTAAATTTTATAGGAGTAGACCTCCCCCCCCCCCCCTATAAGATTTAAATATCCTTATTTCTACTATTTCTTTTGTATATTTATATAATTATAAGTAAAATTTAAATTCGTTAACTATAACCTGAGTATAATTATTATTCATAATAATTTTGATTTTATAAATTATATATAAAGTTTTGATATCGGTTGGAAGGATATTATGTAGAATCTTATTATTTGTTTCCTTATTGGTAGTCCCGATATTTATATTTTATTTATGCTATTTTAATGGCGCTTATATATTAAGTTCGAATTGGAATAGCTTTTTAACTATTTAAATATTACGTTACCGTTTTTTGATAACGCGGCCCGTTATTTTATTAAAAGTTAATTAGTTACTATATTCGGGCGGAAATTAGAATAGTCTATCCCTTTTTTCCCGGTCGTTGAGCGACCGAAAACTATTAAAAGCTATATCCTATAAACCCTAGTAATTCTAGAGCATGAGGGTAAAATTGTTAGCGTTTATTAATTTTATAATAAATTTTTTTTTATATTTCTGGGTTTAGTAAAGATAATTTTAGTGACCGATTTATTTTTATCTATAGCGATTAGAAAACGACGTTTTTTATTCGTTATATTATTTTCGATTAATTTAAGTCTAGCTACGTATATAATTATAAATCGTAAATTCTTATTATATTTACATTCTTTTATATCTTTATAAATTACGTTAATATAATAATTTGCGTTTTTTAGCCTCTTATAATATAGGATATTTAGGGCTTTAGAAGGGATAAGAGAGTAAAATAGTACGATATAAAGTTTTATAACGGTCGGTAATTATTAAAAGATGTATTCGCCTTTAGGATTTTAATTTTTATTATTATTAAGTTCGTAAATTATAATTATATATCAGAATCTAATATTATTAAATCCTTTATACAACGCAGTATAGAAAGTATTAGAAAGGCTTTTATTAATTAATAGTTTCTTTAATTAACGATGAGGTCTTTTCGGTAATTATATAGATTAGGTATAAAATACGTTTGGGGGCATTTAATATTAATTATTATAATATATATTACTATTTATAAGTTGTTCGTATTTTTATAGTCTTCAACGAAACTATTTTATTAGGGGATTATAGTATTTTGCGAAAAATAATAAGCGTCTTTCCTATTTTATTGTATAGTAGTAAATTTAGTAATTACGGACCCGAAATATTTCATTTAATATAATTATTTCGTTTTAAAATTACGGACAAATTATTGATTAATATTATTTTACAAGTTAATATAGTACGGTATTTTATAGTTAGTAGTTAGTAGAAGGCGATTGATATAGCCCTCGAATATATTAATATATCTTTTATATTCGATATTAAGTAAAATAAGAATTCGATTTATAATATTAAGATTATATTCGTCCGGCTTTTTACTATTAGTTTGTATATTGTAATTATCCGGAAGTTTATTAAGAACGATATATGAATTTATTAGGTTAGTGGATATAGAAATCTATTTACGGATAAAGACGTTATTAATTATATATATATAGTATATTAAAACAGTTAGGGGCGGCGAAATATTATAGAATTTTAGTCGCTTAGCGATTTGGGATTTAATACCCCCGATATCTTTTAATTTAAGTTTATTATATTATTAAAATTAAATTTTAATACGGTTAATAAAAAAGAAGTTCGATTATTATAAATAAATAAGTAGGCGATTATTTAAAACTTTAAGAGGGTTATTAGATAAATGGAGAGGGATATAACAAAGATAGTTATTAGTAGTAATAAGGGGGAACGAGTATATTTTAGTAATAGTTTTAATTCTAATAATAATTTTGTATAATTATTATTTAATAAACCTTTAAGTATTTATATAAATTAAATTGAAAATAATTTAGAGTACCGATAATGTAGGTTAATTTTATATATATTTTA